ACAACCGATTCGATTTTCCCAAAATCTTTTCACCCCTCAAAATACCTCAGAGCTCTCAAGAAGAAATAATTCTGTGGCGATTTGCTCTCTTTGAAACGCGAGATCACGGAAAATTTACAGCCATTATTATTATTATTTTCTAACACGATTTCGAGATAATCACTCACCTGTTTGTGCTATCCGTTTCTTGGTTTTGTTCACCCATTCACCCGTGTTGATTCAAAGTGCTATCCGATCCGACGAATTTCGATCGCTACCGGTAATGGGGTCCTATCCCCAGACGGAATGTTATATCATGATTACTTCCTGTCTCACATCTGTGCTCAATCGGGGTTTGTTGTACCCGGTCATCCAGGTCGTTTGTTCTTCAATCACATCGCATTTGGTGGGTGGCTAGAATGAGAGCCGCTGTCGGTCTTTGTCTGGGCTTCCATTCGGCCACAACATGACCAGTGTGCCCCGATCTCGTGGTTTATCCCAGTCCGATACCAACTCGGGTCCGGGGCTGGCACCAACATCACATCAACCAAAACAACAACAACAACTGCATCCCAGTGTTGGTGGTGTTGGTGCGACCGGGGTCCGACACACATCACCATCGGCGACCGCGGCGGCGACCGGAGCCAATGATTCGCCCGATCTATCTCATCTTACCCCAGAGGAACGTCGTATTATTGAGGAAGTGCTCCAGCGTCAAAAACACGAGGAACAGATTGATGCTCAAGTGCTACAGTAAGTTGTTACAGTAATAATAAAATGACGAACGACAGATCGGAACGCACTAGTGAATGATTAGTTAAGTTATCGTAATACCGTAGTGGATGTCCTGTAGATTTTCTGTTTGTTACCGTTATTCTCTACATTCAAAAAATATGTGCCAAAGGACTTAGGTGATAGGAATATTTTTCACTCATTACCCAATGAAGAATATCCCATTTACATATAACTAAGGACACGTCAAATCTTATAACTTCGTGTGAATAATGTCACGTGACAGGTACTCCGTCCAGTATTGTACCGTAAGCAAAAGATTAATCAATCACATGAGCAGTGAATTGTTGCATCCACGCAATGTCCCTCACCCCTGTGTTCTGCGTCCACCCAGGTTCTTGATTTTTTATAGTTTAACTGAGATCAAATATCAGAGACACAGAGAACGACCCCGTTCTGACAAATGATCACTAGAGCGCAAAAATGAATGCGAGCCCCTTGTGTCCTCAGTGTCACTTAATCAGTGATCAGTGAGACTCTTGTCCCGACCGTTTTCACGGAATACAGTAACTGAAATAAGAGCAAAAGCTGTGTGACTAATCCCGTTTCTTCCCGTCCACTTAGATCAAACACGTGGTTACGACTCTTCATTGAGAGTGTATGCCATTCCAAGAAAAAAAACAGTTATTTTATTTATTTCTCCCAAATCAGGCCACGAGACTTATTGGCTGCCGAAAATGCAGACTGCGGACTTGTACACCGTTGTTATGTGGATTAGACAAACTGGAACTCAATATCCCGGGGGTGACGGGTTAATTTTAGCACAATCAATCAAGAAGCAAAATTTAGGTAAAAGCTTATCTATTATGGTAATCTGGTGGCGCTAATCATATAGGCAGTGGTTGAATCGGATCAGGGAACACAAACCATGTTGGTTTGGACCCGAAGGCCGTGGTGCCGCTTCAAGTTCAATTTTCGCCTGTTTGAAAGAAACGGTAGGTTCACGGAAATACGAGCCAGCTCTCACGGCAGTCTACAGGGCTCGTGCCACACCGTCCAGATTTGTTAGGTTTCGAACACTGGCAACAAACGAGTTCGTCATCACTCACTTGTTGAAGTTTGGCCTATATTCAAAGCAAATCGATCTAGGATCGTCGGTTTTAATAGTCGACGGACAATTTCTCTCAGAAAAAAGCTTGATGATGATGTCACTGGTCAACTGTCTTTTACGCAATCGGTTTATTGAACGAACTGCAATTCCATGCTGACTATTCGAACACACACACACACACACACACTACCCTCTCCGTTTTTGCGTATTTGTTCCTTCAAGTGAACAGCAACTGAAAAATAACACAATATCATCTGTATATCTTGACAACATTTAATATGATAATAAACAACAACCAATATTATAGAAAGAGCAGTTGATGATTAGATAGTTGCCGGTTCACTCAAATTTTCATCCGCGTTCATTGAGCATCTCAGCCACAACAATTTCCCGAACAAGACAAAGTCATCAATCACCATGATTGAGGTACCAACGAGCACCAACGAACCAAGGAATAATGCATGCTAGATGGGACTGTAATCGAAAGCGCGAGTGTTGAAATCACTTAGGCCACCACAATTTCCAAAATGCATCTCTTCCTATTAGAGCCACATCCCCAAACCCGATAGCAATGGTTCAGGTTGGATGTTGTTTCTTTGTTTTTCTTTCGAACTTATTCTTACCGACTGGTAACGATATAAAAAAATGGCTAGGGCTGAGCAGAGCAGAGCGAGGTTCGATGCCCGCAGCAAGCTTGCGAAGATAGTCTGACCAGGTCGATCGATCGATCGATCGAGTCGAGGGGTTCACACTACTGAGGAGGCCCAAACAGGTCGAAACACTGTGCTTTCTGGCTTTTCAGTTCACGCTTCACTTGCTCTCCATACGACAAACACGTCACCTTACCGAACAGATGGCCGTGGAGGTGTTTTAAATAAATCTGTCTACTAAGCATTGGTAGATAAAATGCTCACGGTGCTCACTTGGTCGCTGCACCGGAATTATCTTACTTCTCTCGATAGAACACTTACTAGTCGACATCATTCTGTGTTTCTGCAAACAGAGTCCAGCTATACTCACGCTCAAATAAGAAAGATAAGTTAGACGATGTAATACAAAAACCATAACACATCGAACTGAATTGATTTTTCTCATTGTGGTCATTTCCACAAAAAAAAACAGAAGCCAAGATTAATGATCCCCTGATATGTCTTCCTTGGTAAAACCGAGATTATTATCGCTGAACTTTTCAATCATACACGATGTAAAATGGGTCCTTCCACCGGTCAGTTTGCTTTTCCACCGCGGAACTGTTGCTACACTAATGCCCAAGGATGTTTTACACATTTTTTCCAACTCAAGTGGAGGTTACAATGTGACTAGTGGGATGTTATCGCGATTACCGAAACGTGGCTGTTAATTGTAATTATTGATTGCGAACTCTCGTTGCCAAGTATGTCTCTACTAAGATCCGATCGTTTGACACGTGGCAGTGGTGTTCTACTTTATGTTCGTGACTATCTTCAATGCAAGGTTATAACTCCTTCGGTTTTGGTCCCCGACATAATTTGGTGTAAGTTACTACTGTCCAACTACGCTGAATGTTTCATTGGGTGTAGTCTACCTTTCCCCGTGAGCCCGGGAAACAGTCAACGATACTCCTTCGCAAAATAGGTCACATAGTCCTACTCATCGATTTATTTATGCCCACTAATGGATGATTTTAACTGCCCCAACCACAATAAACCAATCATTGTCCATCAACTAGTCGATCATCAGCTCAAAGAAGTAATTGACTCGTATCCGTTGTACAACAGTGTGAATGACGCCACCAGGTTTGGAAACTCGTAACTATCATCAATACTGAATTAAATGTTGAGAAACGAAGAACTGATGGTAGAATCTCTCTATCAATTTAGCTTCTCCCTAAGATCGTACAATGATTCTATTCACATACGTTTGTTACACTTCACTGAACAAAGTTCTTTAAGAAATACACTCCCAAATCCAAAAATTAAACAAGGCTGGAAACCCTAGCTCTTTCGTCTCGGTGGATTTTCCATGACGAAGAACCCAATCCGTTGGTCTCTTGGCATAGGTTTAGTGACTGTCTTACAAATCTGCTAACAAAACAGAGTAAGACTGGAGTTACTACCAAATCTGGTATCCAACATTCGCCTATTCTAAGTAGCCTGAGGAAATGGGTATCTCTGAGGACTCTATACCGGTGTGAGTGCAGATATCTTCCGGATTTCGTCATTTGGAATGATTATTGAGTACTGAGAAACCACTGCACCAGGCTGATTTGTGAGGATCAGCTGATGTATCAAAAGGCGCTAGGCGCAGAGCTACATCGCTAACTTCAAGCTGTCGTAATTCGGAATTTCGCATACCGGTTCTGCAAAACTTGCATCCTTTACAATAAAATCAGATAAAATACTGAAAACTCGGTATTTCAAAGATTTAACTGCATCATATGTTGATGGTCTGCAGCTCCCTCGCCGGTTGTCTCAACTTCCGACTAATTAACCGCTGAAAACGTCAAAGTAAAGATAAACGGTTTTATGAAAAAATGTATCCCCATGTGCGAGCAGTATCTACCCGCAAACCCTTATCTGTTTGACAAATCAACTATCCGAAAGACTACGAAATTCTGTGCGCACGGATTTTTCAGTTCAGTTATGTTCATTTCGTACCACCATTAACCATGCATCTTCGTGCGCCGGTTTCGGTTACTGTCTTTTGGCCAGCCATTTAAATGAACAGTTGAAGAAAAACAGGAAAGTTGGAAGTAAAACCAAATAGAAAATGGAGAATTTCATTGGAATAAGTTTGCGAAGAAATGGAGAAGATGCACGAACGCCATTGTTTACGGCACTCAGTCATATCACTTAGTGTAGCTAACCATCGGTTACTATCATCCCGAGGTCCCCAGCCAGGGAGCCTAACGGGACCTATGTGCTCCAGTCCCCTGGTTAGGGTTTTCTACCCTCATGCCAGGTTTTACCATGACCATCCTGAAGGTGCAAACGCATACAGCACATGGTTACACTAGCACTCAAACTACTCAGAAAAGCTTGCAGCTTACCTGGATCTTCACTGAATAG